TCTCCGGGGAATGGTCCCTTCTGACGACATGACCAAAGTAGGTGAGACAAAGTCTGGCCATTCTTGCTTCCAAGGAGCATTCTGGCTGCACTTCCTCCTCCGGGACAGATCTGTTAGTTCTTCTGGCAGTCCATGGTACTTTTGGTATCTTCACCAACACCACAACTCAAAAGCATCAACTCTTCTTCCATCTTCCTTATTCATTGTCCACCTTTCACATGCATATGAGGTAATTGAAAATACCATGCCTGGGGTCAGGAGCACCTTAGTCTTCAAAGAGACATCTTTGCTCTTCAGCACTTGAAAGAGGTCTTTTGAAGCAGATATGCCCAGTGCAGTACATCATCTGAAGTCTTGACTGCTGCTTCCATTGGGGTTGATTGTGGAACCAAGTATAATGAAATCTTTGACAACTTCAATCTTCTCTCCATTTATCATGATGCTGTTTACTGGTCCAGTTTGAGAATTTTTGTTTTATGTTGCGGTGTTAATCCATACTGCAAACTGTAATGTTTAATCATCATCAGGAAGTGCTTCAAGAAATCTTCACTTTCAGCAAGTAAAGTTGTGTCATCTCCTTATTGCAGGTTATTAATGAGTCTTCCTCCAATCCTTAAGCCATGCCCTTCTTCATATAGTCCACCTACTCGGATTATTTGTTCAGCATACAGATTGAATAAGTATGGTGCAAGGATACAACCTTGACACTCTCCCTTCCTGATTTCAAACCATGCAATATCCCCTTGTTCTGTTCAAACTAGAGCCTCCTGGTTTATATACAGGTTTCTCATGAGCACAAGTAAGTGTTCTGGAATTCTCATTCTTCTCAACATTATCCATAATTTGTTATGATTTACACAGTTGAATGCCTTTGCATAGTCAATAAAACACAAGTAAATATCTTTCTGGTATTCTTTGCTTTCAGCCAAGATCCATCTGACATCAGTAATGATATCCCTTGTTCCATAGCCTCTTCTGAATCCAGCTTGGATTTCTGGAAGTTCTCTGTCAATATACTGCTGCAACCATTTTTGAATTATCTTCAGCAAGATTATACTTGCATGTAATATTAATGATATTGTTTGATAATTTCCATATTCTGTGGGACCACCTTTTTTTTGTTATGGGTACAAATTTGGATCTCTTCCAGTTAGTTGGCCAGGTAGCTATCTTCCAAATTTCTTGGCATAGATGGGTAAGTACCTCCAGCACAGCATCTGTTTGTTGACACATCTCAATGGGTATCCCATCAATTCCTGGAGGCTTGTTTTATTTTTTTACCAGTTCCTTCGGTGCAGCTTTGACTTCTTCCTTCAATACCATCAGTTCTTGATCATATGCCACCTTCTGAAATGGAGGAACATCAACCAGTTCTTTTTTATACACTGACTCTGTGTATGTCTTCCATCTTCTTTTGATGTTTCTTGCATCATTCAATATTTTGCCCATAGAATTAAGGGTTGAATTTTTCCTTCAGTTCTTTTGGCTTGAGAAATGCTGAGCATGTTCTTTCCTTTTGGTTTTCTAACTCCAGGTCTTTGCACATTTCATTATAATAACTGACTTTATCTTCTCGAGCAGATCTTTGAAATCTTCTGTTCAGCTCTTTTATCTTATCATTTCTTCCATCTGCTTTAGCTACTCTCTGTTCAAGAGGAAGTTTCAGAATCTCTTCTGACATCCGTTTTAGTGTTTTCTTCCTTTCCTGTCCTTTTAATGACCTTTTGCTTTCTTCATGGATCTTGTTCTTGATGTCATCCCACAATTCCTCTGGTTTTCAGTCATTGGTGTTCAATGCATCAAATCTTTTCCTTAGGTGGTCTCTAAATTCAGGAGGGATATAATCAAGGTCATATTTTGGCTCTTGTGGACTTCTTTTAATTGTTTTCAGTTTCAATTTGAATTTGCATATGAGCAGTTGATGATCTGTTCCTAAGTTAGCTCCTGGCCTTGTTTTGGCAGAAGATACTGAGCTTCTCCATTGCCTCTTTCCACAGATATAATTGAACTGATTCCTATGTACTCCGTCTGGCAAAGTTCACATTATAGCCACACATTTATATTTTTAAAAAATGATATTTACAATGAGTAAGTCATTGGTCTTGCAAAATTCTATTATGCCATCTTCAGCATCATTTCTATCATCAATGCCATATTTTCCAACTACCAATGATTCTTCTTTGTTTCCAACTTTTGCATTCCAATCACCAGGAATAAGCAATACATCTGTATTGCATGTTGGTCAATTGAGATTGCAGAAGCTGGAAAATATCTTCAATTTCCTCTTCTCTGGCTTTGGTGGTTGGTGCGTAAATTTGAACAATAGTAGTATTAACTGGTCTTCCTTACAGGCGTATGGGTATTATCCTATAATTGACAGCATTCTACTTCAGGGTAGATCTGAAATATTCTTTGTGATGATGAATGCCACGCCATTCCTTTTCAATTTGTCATTCTCAGCATAGTACATCCTATGGTTGTCTGCTTCAAAATAGCCAAAACCTGTCTATTTCAGCTCACTAATGCCTAGGATAACAATCTTTATGCATTCTATTTCATTTTTGACAACTCTCAATTTTCCTAGAGTCATACTTCATACATTCCATGTTCTCATTATTAATGGATATTTGCAGCTGTTTCTTCTCATTTTGAGTCATGCTACAACAGGAAATGGAGGTTGTGAAAGCTTTACTCCATCCATATCATTAAGGCTGACTGGACTCTGAGGAGGCAGCTCTTTCCCACTTGTATTTTGAGTGCCTTCCAATCTGAGGGGCTCATCTTCTGGCACTGTATCAGACAAGTTTTCCAGTAATATACCAGACAGCGTTTCACTGCTATTCATAAGGTTTTCACTGGCCAATTTTTGAGAAGTGGATGGCCCATTCCTTCTGAGTTTGTCTTAGTCTGGAAGCTCTGCTGAAACTTATCCACCATGGGTGACCTTGCTGGTATTTGAAATACTGGTGGCATAGCCTCCAGACTCATAGCAACACACAAGCCACCACAGTACGACAAACCGACAGATGAATGGTGGATTTTGCCAATAGAATCCTTTAATACTGAAATTCAAGGCTTGAATTTTTTCTTCAGTTCTTTCACCTTTGATAAATGTCAATCATGTTCTTTCTTTTGGTTTTCTAACTCTAAACCTTTGCACATTTCATTAAAATACTGTCCTTTGTCTTCTCGAGCTGCCCTTTTAAATCTTCTGTTCAACTCTTTTACATCATCATTTCTTGTTTGCTTTAGTTACTCTATGTTCAAGGGTATGTTTCAGAGTCTCTTTTGACATCCATTTTGGTTTTTTCTTTCTTAATAATCTTTTGGTTGCTTTATGTATGTTCTTCACAATTCATCTGGTCTTGGGTCATTAGTATTCAATGTGTCAAATCTATTCTATAGATAGTCTCTAAATTCAGGTGGGATATACTCAAGATAATATTTTGGTCCTTATGGACTTTCAATTTTCTTCAGCTTCAAGTTAGACTTACATAGGAGCAGTTGATGATCTGTTCCACAGTTGGCCCTGGCCTTGTACTGACTGATGATATTGAGCTTCTCCATCATCTCCTTCCACAGATGTAGTCAATTTGATTCCTGTGTATTCCATCTGGTGAGGTCCACATGCCTAGTCTCCGTTTACATTGTTGCAGAAAGGTATTTTCAATGAATAAGTGAATAAATGAAAAAAATATATATATTTTCCAACTACTGATTCTTTTTCTTTGTTTCCACCTGTATCATTCCAATCACTGGTAACAGTGGGAGCTCTGGTGGCATAGTGCCTAAGGCATTTGACTGTTAAACAGAAGGCCAGAGTTTCAAACCCACCAGCCACTCCTCAGAAGGAAGATTGGGCAATCTACTTCCATAGTGATACTACCTCAGAAACCCAAGGAGGGGTCCCTGTGAGTTGGATCTGACTCATCAACGGCAGTGAGTTTGGTTTGGTTTGGTAATTAACAGTGCATCTTGATTGCATGTCTGATCAATTCCAGACTATGGAAGTTAGTAAAAATCTTCAATTTCTTCATCTTTGGCATTTGTGGTGGTTGTGTAAATTTCAAAAATAAGGTATTAATTAGTCTTCTTTGTAGGTGCATGGATATTATCCTGTCAGTGAGAACATTGTACTTCAGGATAGATCTTGAACTGTTCTTTTTGACATGAATATTGGCAAAGAATACCGAAAATACCATGGACTGCAAGAAGAACAAAAAAAAAACATCTTGGAAGAAGTGTATCCGGAATGCTCCTTTGAAGAGAGAATGGCCAGACTTCCTCTCACCCACTTTGGTCATATTGTCAGAAGGGACCATTCTCTGGAGAAGGCTTGGTAAAGTAAAGGGTCAGTGCAAAAGGGAAGACTGTCAAGAGACGGATTGACATAAGGTCGCTATGAGTCGGAGATGACTGGAGAGCATCTCACAACCTTGTTGTTGTTGTTATTTGCCGTCGAGTCGGCCCCGACTCATAGCGACCTCTCCTTGGGTTTCCGAGGCAGTATCACTACGGAAGTAGGATTGCCCAACCTTCCTTCCGAGGAGTGGCTGGTGGGTTTGAACCGCCAGCCTTCTGGTTAGCAGTGAAGTGCCTTAGGCACTATGCTACAGAGCTCCAACCTAACCACCCTCAATTCAGCAGAAAAGCTGCCTTCCAGACTGTGGCTAGAAGCCCACCAGGCCACGTCCTCCCGCCCCTGTCTACAATCCATCTTCAGTACGGTCCGGAGCACAGCCTTTAGATCCACTCCTAGACCCGCCTCATGAACAGAATCATGGAAAACTGGATTGACACTAGGCCTGCGCACTTGGCAGTTTGCCTGAAGATGCTCGAGTACATTTCCCCAGCGCTGATCTCTCAGTGCGCCTGCGCGGGGTTGTGGTTGACAAGCAAAGTTGAGCGAACTCGCCTCTGGGACCCGACAGGCAGTGAGTCTGCTCCGGGGCTGGGCACCGCGGTTCTTGATCGTGCTTGGCTGGGCGCAGAGTGTAGCCATGCAGAGCGATGTCTCGGAGCATCCCGGCAAGCGGCCCCGACTTGAGGGCAGTCCAGGAACCTCGCGAATCACTTACACCATAGCGGCAGAGAGAACCCCGGATCCCAAACACCATTCTGACTACCAGACCTGTGACCCGGAGCAACTGTGCGCCTTTCTAAAGAGCCGTGGCTTGAACGTCCCTGAGCTGCTGATACATTTCCGAGGTAGAGGGGCTCGAGGGGCTGAGGGGATCAGACCAGGCTGAGAAGAGGGCACTCTGAGATAGGGGGCCGGGACCTCAAAAAGGACAAGCTAAAGCAGAGAAGGGAGACTTGACAAAGCGAGCACTCAGCGGGGGAGACCTGTGGCAGGTGGGAGAGCCTTCAGAAGGAGACCTGAGCCAGGGTACGATACGTGCCCCGGGAGGCACTCAGAAGGGGTCGACCTTAGGCGGAGGGCGCCAGGAGAAATAGGGGGAACTTCAGGTTGGGGACACGTAGAGATCGGAGGGGCAGCGGTAGATTTTGATGGGTTTCTTTAGGAAGTTGCTACCGCAGATCCAGGTGGATGATAGGCACTTTTTAATGAGGAATTTGGTGGTGGTGGTGGTGGTGATGTTGGGGTGGCTCCGCAGTTCTTTGCATACTTGACACATTTACAGTAAGTTCCCAAGGTTTTAAATTTCTATTTCCTCTAACTTAACTCAGACTTCTCCAAAGGGGAGGGAACTTGTTTTCTAATTGTGGGAATCCCCAGCCTCTGGTGGTGTAATGCCTGAGGCATTTGACTGCTAACCAGAAGGCTGGCAGTTTAAATCCACCAGCCACTCCTCAGAAGGAAGGTGGGGCAATCTACTTCCTGTAGTGATACAGCCTGGGAAATACAAGGAGGGGTCGCTATGAGTTGGATCAGAGTGGAGGGCAGTGAGTTTTTTTAGTTAACTAATACAAGGAGTCGCTATGAGTTGGGTTCGACTCGATGGCACATAACAACAACAACAATACAAGGAGCTTTGGCATACGAGAGCTTTGGTGGCACTGTGATAAAGCATTTGGCTGCTAATCAAAAGTTTGGTGATTTGAACCCACCAGCCACTCTGCGGGAGAAAGATGCCACAGTCTGTTTCCTGGAAGATTACAACCTTCAAAACCCAGTTGGATAGGTCTGCTCTGTCCTATAGACTTGCTATGAGTTTAAATGGACTACAAGCTGTACAGGGCAGTGGAACATAGCATATCAGTAAACCAAAAATCCAAATCCACTGCCATAGAGTCAGTTCCAACTCAATAAATGTTGTTGACTGGGTCAGCAGAGCTTGATAAATTTTTGCTCTTTAAATGCAGTTTCCCTTGCTCATGCTCAACACTGGGGTTGTACAGCTGACAGCTGAACCCCAGGAGCCCACAGCTTGGCCACAATCACGTGGTTCGATGTGGACTTCAGTGAGTCTTTGCTCCCACCAAAACTTCTGAAGCAGCCTATTAGGTTGTTAGTTTTAAATGCCAACTGGCTTGTGTTTAGCATCAGTCCTCTTGAAATGTACTCAACATTTTGTGCTGGAGTGTGAAAGTCAGCTCCTGCCTTCTTATCCTCCTAGGTGTTCGATATAGGAAGTGGTTCTTCTTGCTTGCGATTTGCACATTAAGTTAACTTTTGCAGTTGCTGGGTAGAGCCGTTTTTGCTTAGATTGGGGACTGGCTGGAGGAACTTTATAGTGTTTCAGGATCTAAAGATAGCTTGAATGGGTGTGGGAAGTTTCACTTCCTTTGTCTTTTTTCCCCCTTCCTCTCATTGATTTCATTTTCCTGCAAAGCAGGGATTTTTCTTCGAGTAGCAAGAGAGGGGAGGAAGTAGCTTTAAATTTTCTGTTTCAATGGCATTCTGTAACTTAATTCACCAGCCTCCAGACTGATCTGTGTTCTCTGGAACCTGCCGTTTAGGGCAGCAGAATATGTTACATGCCTTCATTGGGTAAAGACCAAGCACAACATGGCTACCAGAGTCAAACACTCCGAGGAGAGTCACTGCAGGAGCTCCTGGCTAGAGTGGGAGAACACTGTGGAACAAAACTCAAAATGAATTTTAAAAAAAGACCAGGTTTACTGGTCTGATAGAACCTGGTGAGACCCCTGAGACTATGGCCCCTAGTTACCCTTCAGGTCTGAAATTGAACTCACTCCTGTGGCTTCCAGCCGAACAATAGACAGGCCTATGGGGTGAACATTTACATTGAATAGATACACCTCTTGGAGCGATTCAATTGAGATCATGGGAGAACAGAAGGGCAGTCTTTGCACAGGGAGATGGGTACATGGGGGCGGGGAAGGGCACAGGGAAGAGTTAATTACGAGGAGGAAGTGGGAAGAGAGATCTTACATTGTGGGGAATTGCAGTTATTGTCCAGAAACAAAATGAGTATGATCTGCTGTATGGAGAATGAATTTGGTCTATAAACTTTCACCCAAATAACAAAAAAAATTTAAAAATTAAAAAAAAAAAAAAGTCAACCACTGAAAACCCCATGGAGCACAGTTTTTCTCTGACAAACATAAGGTCACTTTGAGTTAGACTTGCTTAATGGCAACTGGTTTTATAGCTGAGCCCCAGCCTCACCCTGGCGGCCAGCGTCATTTCCTCTGCAGACCTAAGAGGAGTGTGGCAAGCAGCCTCTAACATGGCCCCCAAGATTCTCATCTCCTGTTATTCATGTTCTTGTGTCATAATTCCTTCTGCTTATATGTGGGCTGGACCTACTGACTCACTTATCAATATATTCCTCACTTATCAGTATAAGTGAGTCAGCCGCAGGGACCCAGGTAAGGGTGGTATGAGAGGTTTCCAACAGGGAGACAAACTTATCTGTCGGTTTGTCCTACCGTGGTGACATGTTGATGTGAGTTTTGAGGCTGAGCCACTGGTGTTTCAAACCCAGCGGGATGCACATGGTGCACAGGTATCAGCCCAGCTTACAGACTGAGACAGACTAAGAAGAAGGAAGAGGCCGTCCACTTCTCAAAAAATTGGCCAGGGAAAACCTTATG